AATTACAATTTCCACATAACCTGACTCGACCTAACCTAGAATGAAGTTGACATATATATACAGTACAAAACATACACAAGGCCAGTTGTCTGTATATTAGAATTTGACATTCAGAATTTGAATTTCTCGTTTATTGTAACGTGCCATGCTATGCATATTACTGAAGAGTATCATGATAAACAAAAGATCACTTCATTGTCTGTTGAAGATAAATCAAAACCAGCCATCCGTCAAAACCTGTTGAGTATGCTAGTGTCAAGTTTAAAGGAAGAAGACACAGACCAACGTGGACAGGGTATAACAAAACAGGAATTGATCGATAATTTAGCACTACTCATCTTTGCTGGTTACGAAACAACATCAACGGTACTCTCCTGGTTTACATATTTCGTATCGAAACGTCCGGAAGTACAACAAAAAATGAAAGATGAAATACGTTTCTACTGTGGTAGTGCACCGTTGACAATGGAAAATATACAAAAACTAGAGTATGTTGACTGTGTATTAAAAGAAACACTTCGTCTTGCACCGACGGCCGTGGCAGTTGCACGTCAATTATATGTAGATGATACGATCAATGGTATAAGTATGCGAAAAGGAGAAAATCTAATGATAGCAATTGCTTGTTTACATACGGATCCACGTAACTGGAAGCTAAATCCAAATGAATTTCTTCCGGAACGTTTCTACGGTTCAGATGCACCTGATTCCAAACATCATCCCTATGCACTTCTACCGTTTGGTGGTGGGCCACATGCGTGTGCCGGTCAAGATTTAGCACATCTTGAATTGAAATTAATTATGATACGATTAATGCAATCAGTTACATTTTTAGATGCATCGGGAAGCAATGGTGGACATATACAACATCTTACTGTTATACCAAAGAGTGTAGCAGTGTATATAAAATTTGATGATTAGAAAAACTGACTGTTTCGATTAAATATTGTTTGAAGAAAATGAGAGAAACGTGTTTTTCATGCTAACTGTAATACCGGAAAAACTGATTTCATTCTTAACAGCCAGATATCATAATAATCATAAGTAGCTGTGAATGCAGCCCATTCGTGTCGATCGTACATGAAATTCGATAGAAAATTCTCTCTGGTAAACACCTTCATATCTTTGGCTTGCGAAGGATCAGAGACGAGAAAATAATTTAATTTTGCTAACTGAAATTTTGTACGTGCGAATACACCGTTTCGTCCATATTCTTTTTTTTCGCCATTGCGCCAGATTTCTGAGAAATAATGTTCAATCTCCCGTTTATTTGTTTCTCAAACACGAACACTGCGAACCCTGACTTTATTGAAGAATACCTGGTTTTTCTATTTGATATCTTTTTATATGACCTATAATCTCTGTAAACTAGTCACAAATTTTAAGTAGAATAGGGTCGTTGTAATATACGAAGTCCGATAAATTATATTTTAATATTTTTAATATTTCATAAAATATATACTTTGTCTTCGTAAAATTTTATTATTTACAATCAACAGTTAGACGTTTCGATTACAATGTGCAATCTTCATCAGTATAACATAAAATAAATTTCAACATAAAATTAATAAAACAAAATGTGCATATACAAAAAACAACTAGGTTCGCTAAAATAAAATAAAATAAAAGAGCCTGATTTTCTTTAACCCTTTCGTCATTCTAGCATATCAAAATTTGATGGTTTTTTTCTAGACTAGAGTACCTCAGGATTTTTACATATTCGGAATCAGCGCGACGAGTTACGTTGTACGGCGCAAAGATCTCGTTGGGACCCTCTCGATTTTTTGGAC